GTCGCTAAGCTTGCCTTAGAGGATGTTTTCTCTTGTTCTTTCGTATCTCTTGTCTCAATAGTGCATGCGTGCGACATGCAACGATACTAAACGTTTGCTTTTTCTTTCACTTATTTCAAAAGAATACCTCGTCCGTCGCTATTCTTATCTTCAGTCAAACAACAACATGAGTCAAATTTGATATGCAACAGCCATTTTCTGTTAGCAAAATCCTTGACAGAGGTACCACTTATGAATGTGTGCAATCACAAAATTCGACCAATTTTCTTATATAAACCATGCATCAAAACCGTAATTATTCGAGTTCGAAAAGAAAAGGGTAGAGTCGATCAGAACAAGCACAGATGTCTCGATAGTATAGAAATTGGAATCTCTGCTTAAAAAGTGTATTCAACTACTAATTAGTACCCATTTCAAAATAGAACACAGGGCACATGAGGGTGTGGGTGTGGGTGTCGGGGTGGGTTTGGGTGCTAGTGTGTGTGGGTGTGGGTGTGGGTGTGAGTGTTCTTTTTATCCACACACACTCGAATGTCTATCCTTTTCGACAAATTGAAATCCCAGATACACTCCTACATCATATCCACATTTGTGGAGAATAAAAAAAATATGGCCAATTCTGGTGACCAACTAGGGATTTTAATTTAGGGATTTTTTTTAAGACACAATATGCTGTTCAAGCCACAACCGAACAGGATCTCAGCATTCATATCATTCTGTACTTATGCTTCATATTACCGTTGACTGTAGACTTCTTATTCATTAGTTTTACAATCGAGATTTCATTCAAATGTAACGTATACTGACACCGCATCTAGTCACCAGAATCAGTTCTCCAAGTTTCTGATAAGCAGAATTACTTTTCGAAAACATTCTAATAAGCAATATTAATTCTGTAAGATTCTAGTAACCAGAATGTACTTACCTATACTATGGTTAGCGCTACAGTATTTGGTTTCAATGGTAAACGATTTTCGATAGAAAATGATGTTGAATTATGATCTATAAACCATGTCATATATTTTTAAAAAATCCCTAAATTGAGAAATCCCTAAATCAAAATCCCTATTTGGTCACCAGAATTGGTCATATTTGTATCATTCTCCACAAATCTAGATATGATGTAGGGATGTATCTGGGGATTTCAATTTGTGGCAAAGGATAACCAACCCACACACCCCCAGCCACACCCACACGTTTATGGTCATCAAGGGATGTTAAAAATTCAAATTCGGCTACACCTCGAATGGAAGAGCATCGTTGTCGCTTTTTGAGACGAGGCGTTCGAGCGTCACCGCTCAATGATCCTAGCTATTATGAATTGGAAGCTCGCGCTTGAATGTAACTAACAATGTCTACGTAGTGATTTTCTGGAAATCAGAAAACTCTTTTTAATTTTATAATTTGAACACTCTACTGTAGTGATTATTTTTCATAAATAAATGAAAACCGTTTACGTATGTGCTGTTTCCACCTCATCCAGGTCTGCTTGATACATGACAATGAATCACAGTAAATGTTACATACAAAACAGTATGACATTAAATTTTTCCACTATGCCGCTCGCTCATACAGTCCAGCATGGGTGAAAGACGTGTGTAACCGCTTTTAAAAAGTGGCTGTGCAAACGAATATATATTTACTAATTCTACTATTTTTCGGCGTTCGTCTTTGCCACTTGAGAACCGTGATTAGCATCCGCAAACGACATTCAATTTCAAGCGTTTTAGCGTACTGAAAATCCAACAATTGACGTTTTCATAGAGATACTTAGTGTTATCAATATGTATTGATAACATTTCATCAATAATTGTTCTAGTTATAAAACATTGAGTGAAATAGTGCATGAAATAAATCTCCATCATATCATTGTTTTTCCCATTTTAGTAGTGCTCATGTACATCTAACTCTATCCCTCGAGATACAATTTGACGAGGAATCTATAGTGCATGCGAGTGTGCATTTAAATACTAGTATTAGCAAACTATATGATTTCGAATGTACAAATTATTGTTTCCCAAATGAGCTTCTTCGCAAATGTCTTCTCAACTGTTTCTAAGTAGTTTTATGCCTTGTAACGGTTAAGAGCGTTAAATCTTATTAAAAAAACAAAAGTTCTCGCCAGCAAACTGAAGCAGTGATAGTCAACACGGCAGTGATCATAACTCCTTGCTTGAGCCATTTTAGCCAGATGGCCGCAGATTCACGTCTAAAATAATTTCGCCTTTGAATCATTTCCTCGTGTTCGTTACTGCGAGGGAAATCTTCTAACGGAATATTTTTGTTCAAAAATTTGCAGAGTGGAGCCCAGCCATCTTGCACTTTGAATTCTAAAGTTCGTTCCGCAGCGATAGCTGTTTTGATTTTGTTCAAATACAATGGCATGAACTCTTTGCCGATTTCGGAATAATTATATGTATCTTGCCACCAGACAAAGCGATGCTTCGGAATCAGAAAGAATGATCGAAGTTTGAAGTTCTTTAGAGGCCACAGTAAAAGACTTTCCCAATATGATGCTTTATGAATGCTGATCAGGGTTTGAAAAGATTTGTACCATGTATCGGGATTGCGATACAACAGAATGACCTAAGTAGCAAAAATAGAGAGAGAGAGAAAGATTCTGAACAATCAATACCTTCGCTTTCGGATAGGCTTGAGCAATTTCAACTGCAAAATCACTAGACGGAATGGTAGTTGCCATATACTCGGGAAATTGTTTATCAAACATATGTCGCCAATCATCATTAGTCCAACTTTTCTCTAGATGATTTTCATAAATTTCTTTCCAGGCTATCGATAGCAGAGTATCTTGCATGCAGCTACTCATGTGCATCGTTTTGGTGAACCCCAATTGCTCAAGAGCATCACGCATTGATGCTGTGCCTGTACGAGGCAAGCCAGCGACAATAACTTCGATCGGCATGAATAGTCGAATTGATGGAAAATTGTACTTTGGAAACAAAGTGAATTAGTTTTCACAGGCCTAAATTCGAAATGATAGACGATTATTCATAACTATTTTAGGGAGGTAAGTATTATCATTGGTATTTAAGTTTTTTGCTTTAGTACCGAATGACCGTAAATTCGTTGCAAAATTGAAAATTCATTCCTATCTCGAAAGATTTCTCTTAGAAGATATGTTGCGAAAGGGTTTTTCTACATATACTTGATCCAAGGATACAAGCCAGTAGCTCATGATGACATCTGTTTGATCTGCTGGAAAAGAATACGACTCGATAAAATATGAAGAGTTATAAAAAATAATATTTGGCAAATTCCTAGGGGAATGAGTCAGAATTCCGTGTTATTTTATCAGCGACAGAATTTTAAAAGGAAATATTCAATCTTTAAGAAAATCAGCAGAAATGTATCACTAACTGTCCGAATATATTTGAAATGACTTTGAAAGTATTTGGAAAATAAAATTAATATCATCGAAATTCATTGTATCTTAAAGATTGAAGAAAACAATACTATTATTCGATGAATTCTTTGAGAACGGTTAGATAGATAAATGAAAATCGATTGAAGTGCATTGGACAAGTAGCAGGTAGTACCTGACGAATTGTGTCATACACCAAAGCTAGGATCAACGGAAGAAAAAGAAAGACTTGTTTTTCTAACTGTGCACGTTAGAGAACCATGGAAGCCAAAAATATGCTTACCTTGATTTGGTGCAAGACGATAAGTTACCTTTTTCTTTATATGGAGAAGGTGGATTCTAAACAGTTATATAGACGAGAGGTGAGTAATGTTAGATAAGAATGTAAAACCGAAGTGGTGAGTAAAGGTCACAACGCTATGTTATTGCACTCTAACTCGGTTACTGTGAGTGATATTGATTTAGTCGAACGAAAAAAATATTGAAAGAGAAAGGGTTGAAGAAAGGATACATACAAAACAAGTAATCAAATCGATCTTAATGAATAATTACGTTATTTGTCACTTGTTATAGTCCCACAAACAAAGATTCATGTCGAAAAACGCAAGGCTTAGAGATGAGGGATGAGGGTGAGGGTGTGTGTGAAAGAGTCGGCAAAGTATCCTATAGTTTTGTTGATGTTGGTGAAATTTCAGTTTTCTAATAAAACTATTGTCTTTTGCAAGAGAAATTGGTGCTTATTAGAAAATTTTGTTTCTTTATAATCACGAAGGTCACGAAGATCGTGAGGTCTCTTGAACACGATCAAGATCCCAAATAGTTAATCACGATCACGATTGTGATCACGCAGAGCTCTACTTCAGACATGCATTTTTCTTCTATATTCAATGACGATCACCAACTTAAATCTTTAAAAAAATGGAATCGAAGATATTGGTGCCGAATATATCAGCTCCCTATTACGAAATACTGAAGTGAGTCTAATTTTCCATTCCTTTGTGACATGACCATGCTTTTCCATGCAGACACTGATAAGGGTGAGGGTGTAGGTGTGGGCGCGGATATGTGTGGGTGTGGCTGTGGCTATGATTCCAAGAGAATACGTCCATAGCCGCGATGAACCACACGGGGGAAATCACGCTCGACTCACTTTGAACCTCACACCCACACGCATACCTACACCAACATCCACACACTTAATGTTTAATATTATAAATGGATACTGATGAGACCAGCTATGCATTATGAGACTAAGTAAACAAGTACAGAAAGAATCCATAGGGGGTTAAAATCGCTCCAGCAATTGAAAGTATTGTTCAATGAATGAAAAGATAGACGAGGTGTTCAAAGGGAAAATGCTGAAGACTTTCGACTTTTCACTTCTGGATGACCAGTTCAATTTGTTTCTGAAAATAAATTTGGTTTTCATTGTTAGGAGGATGGGTGTGGGTGGGTTGGTGGATCAAGAGTTACATAGACACCCACACCACTCATAAACATTACGTAAACGAACAATACAATAAGGCAATTTAATACTCTCACCATATGATTTCACAAGAAATTCAGCTGCAGCTATGGTTGCTGCATATGGATTAAGAGAATTAAGAAGGTATGTTTCTTAATTACTACCAGATGGTGTTTCACCATAGACTTCATCAGTACTAATGTGAATAAATCTTTGAATTTTACCATAAATTCGACTTGCTTCAAGAACAGAATGAGTTCTGTAGACATTGGATTCAGTAAATATTATGCTGTTACCAAATGAAGTATCAAGATGAGCTTGAACTAAATTAAATCAAAACAAAATATTCAATTTAAAGTTTGATGAGAAATAAACAGATTTCAACCAATAGGAATTTAAATATCAGAAGGAAAGAGTAAAGACAGAAATAGAACAATGGTAATTGTTGTCTAAAGGCAACCGTCGTTTGTTTCAGCGTTTCTAGAGAATGGTTCATTAGAAAAATTTGAAACTCTCAAGGCAAAAAGATCTTAAAGAGTAGAGTAAAGTTGTGCTAAATTCAAAGTTTTCAAATGCAGGGTGTGTGGGTGTGGGTGTGGGTGTGGGGTGTGGCTGCGGGTTAAGAGACAATGAACACCAACCCTCACACCATTCCACATCCACCCACCCACACCCACACCCACTCAACCCACACCCACACCCCACTCTCTAAAAAAAAGGAGTTTTGCAGAACTCCCCGAAAAGGTTCTGTAGTTTTCTAAAAGCATCCAGATGTGTCCAAAATCTCAAAAAAAGGGGAAAAAATTCGACAGAACCTTTTGGAGGTTCTGCGGAGTACCCACTAGGAGAACCACCTCTTAGGAAACCTTTTTTTAGCTTCTGTACAGCAAAAAAAGGTTTCGTGAGCAAATACGAAACCTTGAGGGTTCAGTACAAAACCATTAATCTTTGGTACGAAACCCTAATAGTTTTGTACTGAGCCCTCAAGGTTTCGTATTTGCTCATGAAATCTTTTTTTGCTGTACAGAAGCTAAAAAAAGGTTTCCTAAGAGGTAGTTCTCCCAGTGGGTACTCCGCAGAACCTCCAAAAGGTTCTGTCGAATTTTTTCCCCTTTTTTTGAGATTTTGGATACATTTGGATGCTTTTAGAAATCTACAGAACCTTTTCGGGGGTTCTGCAAAACTCCTTTTTTTTTAGAGAGCACACCCGCAGCCACACCCCACACCCACACCCACACCCACACACCCACACCCACACCCACACCCACCCACACCCACATCCACACCCAGATACACATCAACCGAATGTCTTCAGCTTCTATAAGGATCAGTTCTCCGACTGAAACTAATACTCAAAAGAATAAATAGAACTATAATTGATACATATCTATTCTTATGATATTCACACCACACTCAGTTAGGAAAAACTAAATAAGAATTGCATGAAGAAAATAGAAATGAATTAATATTTACAAGGACGTGATGTCGCTGTAGGCATCTATTGAGAAAAATCACGAACACACCCACATCCAATATTTACATTCTATACCCAGACATATAACACTGTATTTTTCAAATATTGAGAACTTCAAATTAATCATTTTCATGAATTCTACGAGACGAACTAGAATAAATTTTGTGTTGATGTGTCTCTTCGGAATCCTAATGT